AGTTATTTAATGTCAAACTCTACATATTTTGAACACAATGTTATGGCTTCAACTAAATACATTTTGAACGCAATTGCTTGCCTTCAACTACAGATGAAATTTCTCATTGGTTATTTGGCTTTAAGTATGTATGGTTGATTGATTGATTCTTTTTAGCGGCATATCAACATCTCTATGGGTTATTTAATGCCGAAATATAATATTTTATACGTAATTTTAGGCTTTCAACAACATATTTTGTACGTAATTTTATACATCAGAAGAAAAATATGCTTTTTTAGATTATTTACATTATTCGGACTATTGTCCTCATTTTTATTGCCATATTTATCACAACGTTTCGACCGTTGTACGCTCCAGCCTTTTTCACGTGGCTGGAATGTTGAACTGAACCCTTTTACTTTACTCACTGGGGTAGACTGTTCTATTTCCACGTGCCATATCTAATGAATGTCAGTTATCAGCTATCTCCTGTTAATTCCCCTCGCCAAGTTTTCCACTGCCTTAACCGGGTATTGAACTCACACTCTTTTGGTTCTTTCACTGGATCGAACTAACGCCTTTATCCATTGTGCCATGTGTTTTTGTTTTTTTTAGATAGAAAGATTTTTAATCACAAAATGTATTTTTTGTAGTTTTAGTATAAAAATGTATATTTTTTCTATTTAGGGTAGCATTGATTGTCATTTTGACATAAAAATTTATTCTTGGTCATTTTATTATAAAATGTACTTTTGATTTCTGATTGGGTGTAAGACTTGTATCTTTAAACCATTATTACCTACCACGGAAAAGATTCTTAGAATCTAAAATATTGTTAGCTTTTCGTAAATTTGGTTCATTGTGTCTTACTAGACAATTTTTCTAGCCAGAATCAATCTTACACATCTATAAGTCTACCATTCATCCATGCTTTGAATATTAATGTCACATCTGGTCTGGTGGTTCTGCTATATATTTAGAGATTCTTGATAAAATCCAAAGAAGAATCTATCTTACATATTTATAAGTCTACCATTCATCCTTGCTTTGAATATTGCTGCCACATCTGGTCTGGTGCTTCTGTTATATATTTAGCGATTCTTGATAAAATCCAAAGAAGAATCTATCTTACATATTTATAAGTCTACCATTCATCCTTGCTTTGAATATTGCTGCTACATCTGGTCTGGTGCTTCTGCTATATATTTAGAGATTCTTGATAAAATCCAAAGAAGAATCTATCTTACATATTTATAAGTCTACCATTCATCCTTGCTTTGAATATTGCTGCCACATCTGAACTGGTGCTTCTGCTACATGTTTAGATAATCTTGATAAAATCCAAATGAGACTCTATAATGTTATTGGTCATTTCGGCTTCAGTCACTTCCTTATCACTGTAAAGTTGCTTCCCTGTGGCTTTTCTATAAATACTTTCATGGTAATTGTTCTGATGAACTTTTTCTATGCTACCAAGACCTTATGAATTTAAGCGCAGTACTAGATTGGCGGATAGGTCTCATCATTTTAGAGTTAAAATGACGAGATGAAACCGTAAGTTCTATGCTAATGGTTTCTTTTTTTTGCACTTCTTGTTTGTGGAACTCTCTCTCTCTCTCTCTCTCTCTCTCTCTCTCTCTCTCAACTTCTTGCTTCCCAGTCAACTTTGATATTCAGACATTTCAATGCAGTGTCTTCTTAATTCCTATTCTTTTATTGATCTATCTCCTTAACTGTGTTTTTTTCTCGTATTCCCTCATATTCGACAACCCCCTTGCGTCTTAGTGGCCTTATTGCCTTGCTTGGGATGAAATGATTAAAAAGAAATCCTGACTGGTTGATAATCCGTCGAAAACGAATCAATCAATGAATCTATTGATTAAGCCGAAGAAATTAAAAGAAGAAATTAATAAGACTTGTAAACCATTATTATCGCCAAAATATGTTATTAAAATCTCAAATTAGTTTCTGGCTTTAAATAACCTGCAAAGGGTTGATAATCCGTAGAAAACGAATCAATCAATGAATTTATTGATTAAGCAGAAGAAATTAAAGGAAGAAATTAGTAAGACTTTTAAACCACTATTATCGCCAAAATATGTTGTAAAAATCTCAATTTAGTTTCTGGCTTTAAATAACCTGCAAAGGGTTGATAATCCGTAAAAAACAAAGCAATCAATCAAAAATTCCTACAAGGTTTTGTATCTCATTCCAACCTGAGAACGCCTCGCAGAAGGAGGCGAACTGCATTGTCGTTATATGCTAGAAACAAATAAAAATAAGTTCTGAACTGTTACATAACGTCTGTCCTCCTATTTGGCAATGAATGCTGGACAAGAGATGACAAAAGACATGTGGTCTACAGAAGCATGCTGAGGATACTATGGACTGAACATGTGAACACCGACGAAATTTTAAAGAAAATGGAAACAAAAGGAAAACTCACACTCAACATCAGGAAGAAACAGCTGAAAAGTTTTGTGGCACATAATGAGAAAAGAGGGCTTGGAAAATCTAATGCGCACAAGACAGACTGAGAACAAGAGGGAGAGGGTAAAACAACACAAACCTGTTTAGTGTGCTTGAGTAAAGGGGTGGGTGGTAAAATAGTGTTTGGGAGAAATAAAGAAAAGACAAAATTTATAAAGAGCTACAAAGGACAGGATATTGTGGAGAGCCATGGTCGCCTACGTTCTGAGGGGAGACGGCGCATAAAGAGGTTAAAAATTCTACCTAATTGACTCTTCGTCTTTAAGCTAATTCTTTCGCTTCTTGTTAAGCCGTTTGAAATATCTGTTTTCCCATCATTTCATATTTTTAAATCTTTTCTTTGTATTCCTACCTACTTATCCACCTCGACCCAACTGTTCCAATGTTACATTCATTTGATAATTGGGAATCTATTCTATTCCAACAATTAAAATTCCGTTGTTCGTTTGATGATGTAAAAAGTTTTTTTATAAAATCTGACTTACTCCATCTTAAATGTTTACTATCGCTTTCCCTGTATCGACCTAATTTTTCCAAGTCTAGATATCAAATTCACCTTTGTGTATTATTCAATATTTCTTTCATTGTTCTCGTAAAAAATCCCGTATTTACACTAACTACCTTCCGTAAATCAAATATTTCAAAACAATAGCGAAATCCATATTTGCTTCAATATCTTTCCCATTCTTTACAAAACGAATTTATCCGTCTACCTATGCAAATGTCTGTCTGTCCATTATTTCTTCTTCTTCTTCTTCTTCTTCTTCTTATTATTATTATTATTATTATTATTATTATTATATTTTTCTTCTTGTTCTTATTATTAATAGTGTTATTATTATTATTATTAACAGCACTTAGAGAAGAGAGCGATTTAATAAAAGAGAAAAAAGATAAAAGATCAATGTCTGAAAATGTTCAATAATATTTCGACAGTATGTCTGTCTTCTTCAGGTTATGTAGAACAACATTATACAAGTATAAATAAACATAAACAGAAGAAGATAGATATACTGTCGAAATATGGTTGAACATTTTCAGACACTGTTTTTTTTTTCTTTTCTTTTCTTAAATCACACTCTTCTTTTAAGTGTTGAATAATATCGGAAGTGTTACGTCAGTCATTTTCATTATTATTATTATTATTATTATTATTATTATTATTATTATTAATAACAACAACAATAATAATAATAATAATAATAATAATAATATTGTTCGTGTATTATGTTTCTTGCTTTGTATCCTGTAGAGTCGGGTCCATACTATGGTCCTTAAGTTCTATAGAAGAATTGTCATTTAATTGATAACATTTTCCTTAGTATATGGGATGTTTCTAGTAGGGCGATCTTCTGGGCAAACTTGTATGTAGATGTTACCTGGGACATTGTTAGTAAAATTGTCCATTCCTTTTCTCACGAGGCCCAGAGCTCCGATTACTATTGGTACAATCTCATTCTTCATTCTACACATCCTGTTAATCTCGATCTTCAGGTTCTTGTATTTGGACATAATAATTTTTATGGAGATGTTTCTCGCAGATATTATTATTATTATTATTATTATTATTAATATTATTATTATTATTATTATTATTGTTGTTGTTATTATTATTACTTAATATTTTTTAATATTTTTTTATATATTTTATACTTGAAAAATTCTTTTTAAATATAACTTGTAGAAGACAGATATTCTGTCGAAATATTGTTGTACATTTTCAAACTGTTTTTTTCTTTTCTTTTTCTTTTCTTAAATCGCACTCTTGTGTAATTTTTAAAAAATATCGGAAGATTTACGTCAATCATTTTCTTTATTATTATTATTATTAATCTCGTCGTCTTTTCTATATCCGTTAAAATAGAATGATTCATTGTTTTTTACGGCCTATCAACCTTTTGCAGGTTATTTAAAGGCAGAAAATATTTTTAGACAGTAAGATTTTTTTTCGAGATAATAATGATTTACTGATAAAAGTCCAACTAATTAACCCATAGCTGTTGGGAGAAGAGGTGGGTTGAAGGGTAGTTGTGAGTTAAGTGAATAATAATATTCATTAGGTACCGTCAGGAAACCGATCAAAAATCAGTGATGAAAACATGCTCCATGAAACCTAATGAAAAAAACAGAGTTTTATTGTCAAAATGTTTATGTTATTATTAAGAGGAAGGATCAAAATATTTTTTGAATATTTAATTAAATTTTTACTTTTTTTAGAACATTGAAAATTTTGATTAAAAAGTGTTTTTCTTGCGTCGACGGTTGTACAAAGATAGCAAAATTTAGTCTCTTTTTGCAGTGACATACACATCAATTTGAAAATTCTTGCAAAAATCAAAATATAGTCGGATTTTAATTAAATTTTCAAAATTTATTCACAACTGAATGAAATTATTTTCGAATACTTTTTATTATCTAGGTACTGGCCAGGCTCGACGTTGCTTAACTTCGCTGATCGTACGGAACCAAGTGTTTCAACGTGACATAGCCGGAAGACCATTACAACAAATGCACATCCAACCTTCGAGTACTTGGTATTGCCAAGCGGTCACCCATCTATATACTGACCAGGCTCGACGTTGCTTAACTTCGCTGATCGTACGGGAACCAAGTGTTTCAAGGTATTTATGACCATAAGCGCATTACAACAACCACACATCCAACCTTCGAGTACATGGTATTGCCATGCGGTCACCCGTCTATATGCTGACCAGGCTCAACGTTGCTTAACTTCGGTGATCGTACGAGAACCAAGTGTTTCAATGTCACATGGCCGAAAGACCATTGCAACAACTGCACATCCAAACTTTGAGTACTTGGTATTGTGACTACCAAGCGGTCAGCCATCCATGTTCTGACCAGACTCGACGTTGCTTAACTTTGGTGATCGTACGAGAACCAAGTGTTTCAATGTGATACGGCAGTAAGCCCTGGAAAATTTTAGAAAGAGGTAATAAATAACTTACTGAATGAGTGGTCCTCAGTAAAAGGATGATTAAAACTAAGCAGATGCGGAAGTTTAAATATCTGGGAAGTCTTATGACAAAGGACGCTGAGATCCGAGGACGTAATGGGATGGCCAATGGCGTATTCCAAAAGCTGGGCAGATTATTACGAGAGAGGAGGATTTCTTTGGTAACAAAGAAAAGAGTACTGAGCTGCTACGTGGCATCTGCCCTCCTTTACGGCAGCGAATCTAGGACGATCTCCTCAAAGATAGAGAAGAGACTCCAGGCAACGGAGGTGTGTTTCTACAGAAGGATGCTGAGGATAGCATGGACCGAGCGTGTGAGCAACAATGAGATTTTGAAGTGGATGCAAACAAAGAGGTAGCTTAAACTTAACATCAGGAAGAGGCAGCTGACGTTTCTGGGACACGTAATGAGAAAAGAAGACCTGGAGAATCTGATACTCACACGTCGAATAGATGGAAAGAGAGACAAAGGAACGCAGGACGTGACATACCTGACGGGCTTGAGCACGTGGGTGATACAACAGGATCTGGTGGAAGTAGCAAAGGGACTAAAGTCATTGAGTGGTACAAGGTATCTGCGACGTGCTCCCCATCCTTGGAGTGGGGTGTACTCGGTTTATTTATCATCTTTCAGTTGCGTCTCTGTCCTTGGACAGAGTGCGCTCAGGGGCTTCTCTGTCTAAGGACGGAGGGGCAACTGAGGAAACTTATACTGAAGAGGTGTCCAGTCCTGGGGAACAGCTGCGCAAGGCCGCGCCCTCCCATTGCACAAGAGGGAGGGATCGGTGCTCGCACCAAGGCCAGATCAACCGACGGTTGCGGGGGCTGAGAGGAATTTTGGTCCCTGCCCGGGTGTACGCGCTCGGGTCCTCACATTAATCCGACCTTGTGTCACATCTCATTCTCGTGGAGGAATGAGTAAATACCAGAGCTACAAGGTATAGAAGGTTGTGGAGGGCGATGATCACCTACGTCCTGAAAGGCCACGACACATAGAAATAAAAGAATAACTTGCGTAGATGTTTGATCTTTCTTGTATAGAAATTGTTAATTTTTGTAATTAGCCCACAACGGCCACAACACGACAAAAATCGCAGTCCAGCAGGGGAATTTCATAATTTTTGTTTCTCTTAGAGTTATATAGGAATAAAGTGTCGCTGCCGACACTGGAGTTTGAACACAGATCGCCAGTGAACAAACACAGTCGACTCCATTATTGAATAAGGTAGAAACGCATATATGGGAGGTAACTTGTGTCTAATTGATCACCATTTCTATTCTATCCTCTATACTATACGGATCGCTATTTCTAGTCTATCCTCTATTACTATACGGATCGCTATTCTCTATTCTCTTCTCTACGCTATTCTATATTCGGATCACTATACGCTTAACTTTTCGAGCGAGTATTATCGGGCAAGTACTATTAGCGCAAGTGCTATTCGAAGGCGTCTGGCACCAGCATTGTTTAACGTCGTACTATAAGTTGTATCTGCGATTGCAAAGTCTCTACTACGACGAGCATTACAAAAGTGACAACGAGTATTCGTTGGGATTACAAAAGTAGCAACGAGTGTACGTAGACATCACAAAAGTTAGAAACTGTTAAACGGAGATATGTAGCAAGGTTTCGACAGTATGTCGGGTTTCTTCAAGGTCTTCAGGGTCGTGTGAACCTAGCTTCAGTATATAGATCATTGATCGGCGAAAGCATATCAATCAAAGCAAACTACTATATTAAACTGTTTGCATATAGTCTGCAGGCAAAGATGTTTGGAAACCCTTGCCTTTCTTTAATAAAACACGTCAAAATGAGATAATTTTTGTACTTTTTTAAAGTAAAAGACAAAATATCAATAACTACTGTATATTTGTCTATATTTTTGCGCAAAGAAATATAAAGGGGAGACAGGCCGCCCCCTTAAGGTAACGCGAAGGGAAGTGGAAAAATTAGGCCTGGCTGACCACATATGGAGAGAAAAGGGAGATCATCGCCCTCTGTGGTATCAGGTTGAGATCATAGTCAAGGAACACCATTTGAAAATTCGTAAACTTAAGGAATCAGCACATATGCTGGGCCATAAAAATCTCCTGAGCCGACCAAGCATAGAAATGAATACAATATCCGAACCAGTAATAAATAGTGTCAGAGAAAAGCGATAACAACAAAAATTGCAATATGAGCTCTGGTAAAAACATGTAATGATAACAGCAAAAATGCACTAATATAGGCATTTTTGCAATTCTTCGGGATCAAAATTATAAATACAAGTTATTTTTTTTTCTTTTTTATCAAATATCTTCGACTGTCTCTGTCATTATCAAGAACTAGGTGTTGTCAGTATGGTAGACAAGATTTTGTTGCTACATCCTGGCATTTTTATTTCGTATGAATTGGCCGGAAGTGACATCATACGAGCTACTAATGTTGTCCTTTTCCAATTCGTAATAGCTCACAATTATCAACGACGTAAGCACAGTTTCGAACCTTCAAGGGCGTGGCGATCATGGCTCTCCACAATTTCCTGTCATTTTTGGCTATTAATAAATTTGTTTTTTTTTATTTCTTCTAAACATTGCTTCGCCATCTATTTAACCAAGCTAAGTAAGTTATGCGTTCTTTCTCTGTCCCTCTTGCCTTCAGTCAGTCCTGTGAGTATCAGATTTTCCAGGCCCTCTTTCTTCATTAGATGCTTTGGAACTTTCAGCTGTTTCCTCTTGATGTTAAACGTAAGTTTCCCTCTTGTTGCCATTTTCTTTCAAACTTCATCGTTACTCACCTGTTCAGATAATGGTATCCTCAGCATCCTCCTGTAGAACCATATTTCTGTTGCCTCGAATCTCTTCTTCATCTTTGAGGAGACGGTCCAGCATTTCCTTCCATATAGAAGGACTGATATCACGTAACAGCTCAGTACTCTTTTCTTTGATTCTAACGAATTTCTTATAAGCGAGGTTAAGATAAAGATTGTTTATCATCACTCCGACATTTTCCAAGTCCCTAAGAGTTGATGCCGTCAAACTGCGAAAGAAAAATTACAAAATAAATTCCTAATTTAAAGCACAACTGAACCGCCATTTGTCTACATTTAGTGAAAAAATTTAGGACTTTCATTTTTTGGTCCTTAATTCTGAACGCTACTATATATATATATATATATATATATATATATATATATATATATATATATATATATATGTGTGTGTGTGTGTGTGTGTGTGAGGAATTATACATTTAATGTGTGCTAAAAAGTGCTCAATATCAGAGATAGAGCGTATATAAATATAAATATAAAAGTTAACATTGAAGTCAACATTCAGGATGAAACAGCCTGTCGCCTCTGAGTGTTGACTTCAATATTTCAATTTCATATATATATATAATTTATATATATATATATATATATATATATATATATATATATATATATATAATTCATATATATATATAAATATTAACATTGAAGTCAACATTCAGAATGAAACAGCCTGTCGCCTCTGAGTGTTGACTTCAATGTTCTCTCATATATATATATATATATATATATATATATATATATATATATATATATATATGGAGAGAGATAGACATACAGACAGACAGATAGATTGATTATGAGGAAGAAATCCACTTTCAAAAAGGCGAAAAAATATTTTTCGAATCTTGAAATTGTTGTGGCTGTGGAAGGGCTAATGAATACTCGCATACAAAAATTGTTTCAAGAAATTCTTCCCTATTTTTCACGATCTGATCAGTCATTTAAAGCATTGCCATTTTTTTTTTAAATACGAGCCTCACCGACCTCGCACTGTAGACCAATAAAAAGTACTTACGAAAGCTATTTCAGTCTCTCATCATTGAGATAAATGCACTTTGTGTCAAGTATTTTTTTCCAGCTAAATAAACATCATGGAGGTCTGGCCTTTCGTTTTAGGACTGAAGCAAACATGAAACAATATTGCTAATTTTGTTATAAACAGATATGGGTTCCCTAAAGTGGGACCTTGTTAACCTTTAACCTTTCTCTTGCACCCAAACCAAACAAAATAACCTAACTTCTTAAAATCACTATCACTTGCAATGTTCATTCTCCCCGCCCTCCCTTTCATTCCACCCTCCCTCTCTAGCGTTATCTTATTATCTCCTCTCTAATTGAAACATCCCCCTCCTCTTTATCTCTCTCTTTTTCTCTAATCAGTCTTGTTTTCCCATTTCTTTCTTTCTTTCTTTCTTTCTTTCTTTCTTTCTTTCTTTCTTTCTTTCTTTCTTTCTTTGTCTCCTTTGGCTTTATTCTTTAGGCTTTCCTTTTATCTGTCTTCCTGCTTTCCTTTTCTTGCTCTCTCCCTTTCTCTCTCTCTCTCTCTCTCTCTCTAGCATTGTCTTATTATCTCCCCTCTAATTGAAACAACCTCCTCCTCTTTATCTCTCTCTTTTTCTCTAACCAATCTTGCTTTCCCATTTCTTTCTTTCTTTCTTTCTTTCTTTCTTTTTCTTTCTTTCTTTCTTTCTTTCTTTCGTTCGTTCGTTCCTTCTTTCTTTCTTTCTTTCTTTCTTTCTTTCTTTCGTTCGTTCGTTCCTTCTTTCTTTCTTTCTTTCTTTCTTTCGTTCGTTCGTTCCTTCTTTCTTTCTTTCTTTCTTTCTTTCATTCTTTCTAGTCTTTGT